CCGTGCTGACTGTGCGCGACGAGCTGGCGCCGGCGTACGACGCGTGGGCGTCGCGCGTGCGCGTGCACGCGCTGCCCGCGCCCGAGGGGCTGCCCGGCGGGGCGGGGGGCTTCTGCGGCTGGGCGCGGGCGGGGCTGTACCGCCGGCTGCTGTCAGGGGTGGCGCAGGAGCGGCAGAGCGTGCCCCTCATCATGCACGCGCTGCTGGAGCAGGTGGGCCGGCATGCGCGTCGCCGCCCTAGGCTGCTTGCAGTGTTGGATCGTGGGGCGTGCATTCTAAGGTCAACGCTGAGTGTGGTTGCATCAAGCCAGGTGAGGCATTCAAGGGGGTCCTTGGGTCAGTGGGGGAGCAAAGGCCGCTGTCGTGTTTGATTTGCTACATGTCCAGAAGGTGCACCGCGTGCCTGCGGGCCAGGTCGTCCGCAACTGCGAGGCGGAGGAAGGCGGCGACAGCGTGGAGGACGAGGGCGCCGCCGCGGCGGCCACAGCGGCCGCCGCCATGGCGATCGACGCCGCGTTTGGGGCCCTGGCGGCGGGAGGAGAGGGGGGCGGCGGCGCGGTGCTGCGGGAGGCGGCGGCGCAGGGGCTGGAGTTGCATGTAGTCCTCGAGGTGAGGTTTAAGTCTGTGGCCCTGATACTGCCAGAACTGTTGGGTCCCTCGGGGGATCAAGGCGCCTGTGCTTGCCCCTGCTGCTCCTGCGACCCTGCATGGCTGTGACAACGCGCCTGCACGTCCATCTGGTTTGGAGCGCACGCCCGTCAGTGCGCCCATGCGCGCTCGCGCGCTCCAACCCACACAGGGCGACCACCTTGCCGCTGCGGCCCACGGCCTTACGACCGGCTTCGTACACGGCGCTGCTGCCATGCCACGCGGCTGCGCGGACGGCGGCGGCGGCGCGGGTGGCGAGCCGGGCGCCGCGGGCGCAGGCATGTTTGGCCTGTCTGATGCGGACGTCGACGCGGCGGAGGCGCGCATGCTGCGACTCGCGCTTGGCACCGCCGCGGGGCCGGCGGGCACGGTGGAGAACAATGATGATGGCGGCGGCGCCGCCGCCGCGGCGGCAGGCGTGGTTTGGCGGAGCCTGGAGCGCGGCAGGCTGCAGGTGCGTGGTTGCATGGCGCTGCTGCGGCCGGAAGGTATTCTGTGGTGGAGTGCGTCTGTCTGGGCTATGCAGCAGGAAAGTAGGGCTTAGCACAGTCTGCCGCATCCCTGGCATTGACCAGTCCTGCTGCTGGTGCAATTTGATCGAGCCCCGCCCTGCCGCGCAGGCGGCCTGCGGGGAGGGGCTGGCGGCGGCGACGGCGGAGCGGCAGCAGCTGCTCGCCGGCTTCGCGGCGCTGCTGCCGCCGCGCGGCGCGGAGGCGCACGCGGGGGGCGTGCTGGCGCGGCGACACATGGAGCAGCTGCCCGAGCGGGTCCTGAGCCAGGTGAGGGTCTCGTTGTTACTCATCGTCGTAGTAACGACAGAGATGTGTGATGGCAAGGAGACTTGGGGGTTAGTGAACTGGAAAGGTTCAGGCGCCACGCAAACGGACCGCCAGCGCTGGTTGGCACCGCACGTTGCGCCTGTGCTTGCCGAGCTGCCGTCCGCGCCCCAGCCTCCCCCCAAGCCGCGCCACTGACTCCGCCTCTCCGCCTGGCCCGCTGCCCTGCGGCTGCTCCACGCGTCCGTCGTCGCGCCCGCACCCACAGGCCCTCTCCAAGGCTCGCCTGCATTACCCAGACGTCTCCGCAGGCTACCTCCCCTCCCAAGACGCCCGCCTGCTCGCCTTCCACGCGGGACCCGGGCCCGGCGGGGAGCGGGCAGGTATCGCCGCCGCGCTGCGTGGTGCCAGCCCACGCGCCATCACGTTTGGCCAGTACTTTGAAGCGGCGGTCGCCGCATGTGGCTCGCCGCCGGCACTGCCGGATGTGGCGTACGCGATGAGCGAGGCGGCGGCGGCGGCCGCCGCCGCGGCGGCCGACGGGACGCGGCAGCGGCGGCTGCTCATGACTTCAAACGGCGCAGTCACGACGCGGGGGGGTGGGGTGCTGGCGGTGTCGGGCGGCGGCGGCGGCGCCAGCCTGCGCTTCGTCAGGCCCGGGGTGGCCGGGGAGTTGGAGGGAGCAGCGTACCAGCTGGTGGGCACTCTGGCCGGCGGCGCGTCGCTCGCGGTGTGCTTTGATGCGGCGGGCAGGGCACAGGCGGAGGCAGGGCCCTCGTCGACGCCATCACCCGCAGACCAGGCGCAGCAGCAGCAGGAAGCGGCTGGGAAGCTGCCGCTGCCGCCGCCGTCTCCGCAGCAGCCGCCCTCGGTCGGCGCCCAGCAGGCGGCGCCGCCGGCCGCGCCTCTCGCGCAGGCGGCGGCTGCGGCGGCGGG